AACAGAGACAAACCAACTTCAACACTAATTAAACGCATGCAGGAACAATCCAGGAGTTTTGGCTTAATCTGAATTTGCTGATTTCATATGGAATTACCTCAAAACCTTCAGGCAGAATTATGTGAAACATACTTCCTCTCTTTCTCTTCTCTGTCCTTCATAATGAATTAATTTCTAACCTTTTTGCTGTCTGTCTGTTCATTTGGTTTATTCACCCATCTGGTATCACAGTGGATGTGTCTATTTTATTATTATTTAAGCTGTTCTTTCCTTGGCCTGACCGTTTCCCACGACTGAGGATTTAATTCTGGGACTGTCACAATTGCTGTGGTCTGTGTTCTGAATGTGCCACTAGAGGATGCTGTGAGAGCCCACACGCTGCACTGGCACCTCCCAAACCGCCTGCCCTGGTGCCCCTGGTACCGAGTGCGGGATGTATCCTGCTGTGCCGCCCGCCCGCCGAGCAGAGCTGTGCGGAGTACGATATTCCCTTGCCCTGCCACTGCCAGAGCAGGCTGATTTCAGCTCGCTCCGTCGTGTGCTGATGACTTTGCTATCACGATGGGTGAGTTATGCTCTGGTGAGTCCTGCCCCATAACTCCATCCAGCAAAGGGGAGCCAGGGCCGGGTGTGCGGGCTCAGCGGTGGGCGCACCCTCGGTTCGTTGCCGTTAAGATGCTCCGGAGAGATCGAGGGCAGCACACCCGGCACGGGGCTTTCTCTCCCACTTAAGAGAGATGGCAGAAGGGGAGCGGGAGACTCGAATGTTCCCGGCAGACAGGGCCCTTTCTAGGATCAGAAACATTCTTTCTGTTTAAACTGGTCAAATAAGATGTTTCATCCCAAAGTCTGCTGTAGCCGGCTAATGCTGAGGTTTAGAGCTTTTTTTTTTAGGTAGTCAGCACTGGCTGCTATGGGAAGTAAAATGGAGCATGAGGCAGAGCAGGAGTCTCGGTGCAGGAGGAGCACAGCCCTGTTGTGACTCAAGGGAGAGGTATTTTTGCTTTGACTTTACAAAGCTCCTTTGTTTTCTAGGGATAGAGTTCCTCTGTCTTTTTCTTTATGATGGGCCGAGAATCCGGCGTTGGGGTGTATCACGTAGGCGGTTCGATGCCTTTTTGAGGAACACGTTGTTGTACAAAAAGGTGGTATTTGGCCTGACCTGACTCTGTTTGCAAAGCAAAGTGCAAGTGCAGAGCTATTTGACGGAATAAAAACCGCGAGTGGTTTGTGTGCTGCCCAGCCAACAGTGAAGGCGTGTGAGACCCACCGGGTTTGTCACGGGCAGCGTCGAATCACCCCCCTGGTACGTGGCAGACCCTGTTCAGCTGCTTTCCCAGCCCAGTGCAAAACAAAGGCTGGTTTGTAAGTTTTAAACGAGGGAGATATTTCACCGATTTTTCTTCCTCTGTCAAGCCCAAATAATAAGTGTGTGTTACATGAAACGGGGGTTTTAGTAAGAAAGGTTGAACCTTCCCTCCGCCCTGCCATCCTCCACCCTCCGTCCAGAACCCCGTACAGCCACAGATCTGGGAATACTGTCTGATGAAATAAGGGAACACACTTCCTTTGTTTGGAACCATCAGATAAAAGACCTGAGTCCAGATCTTCCAACATGTCAGGAGGAATAATCCTGACAATTGAACTTTGTGTTATAAGGAGAACTTCTTGGCATACTCATCACTCATTTCCTGATCTGATCCTTTGCCTTTATTGAACAAGATTAGAGAGAGATCCCTCATCTAAAAGTTGGGAAGAGAGGGCTGCCTGAATATGACTGATTTCTTATTCAGTGACCCAAAGGAAAATGTTTTTGATTTCTCAAAAATTTCGCGAAGTTTTGGATTTAGTTAATCCTGATTGTTTCAGTTCAGCTGCTGAACTGGCAGATCCGCCGCTCGCACATCCCTTTTAGGGAACGCTAGGAAAAGGGTTTCGCCATCCTGTTTTCTTCCCTATAGGTGTCACTCTTGAGTTTAATGTGAATGTATTCCTTCATCTCCTATATTTTGTCCCGACATCACCTGATTACGTTAGGACACACAATTTTCTTTGGGGCCATATTATATACTATGCCTAACTTTGATTTCTCTGTGAAGGTGTCTCTCATTTGTTCCGCCTACATTTCAATACAGTATTACTGCACCAAACAGATCGCTGGACACACAGTTTTCTTTGCATTGCAGAAAAGTTTTATTAGAGGCATTGTTATCAGCAGAAAGTAGATCACCGATTGCATTGCAGATAGGTGTGTGTAGATACAGTGATTGCATATGAAGAATTATATAAAAAGGAAGAAGTAGATAATTTTAGGAGAGTCCTAGAAATTATTCATCTCAACTTCAGCAGTAACGTTTGCAGAGCAGTCGGTGTGTTGGGTGGGCACGCAGCCCGTGTGCTGTCTGAATTACCGCGCTGCACGGCAATAGGTGGGTCGGGGAAGACCGGCGCGTTGGTGGTATCTTAACACACTCTTGATTGCCCTGTGGAGTGAAAGAACAAACCATTACTCTGATGGGGAAATCAAGAGTCTCTTGCAACACAGACAGTTCAGATGTATCCACTATTCAAATGTCCGTCTGCATTAGCACAGGCGTGGGAAAGGAGCTCAGCCTGGTTCTGTACCTGAAGCTGGGACACCTTGAAATTAAGAGATTTGATTGTGAACAGTTTAATCCCTGTTGCAATGGCAAATGTGGAAGCCATAACACAAGGAATAGTATTAACAGGAAAAGAGGTGAAACACAAAATATGAAAGCCGTGGGAGCAGGATAAATTAGGATCCTCTTTGGAAGATGTTTCTTACCTGTCTTCTCACCAGATTGACCATGGCAGTACGAAGTAGAAGAATAAGAGTGGGAGGATATTCCACCTCCTTGGAGACCTCCTTGAGACGTCCTGTGCAAGGAAAGGAGTTTTAATTAAGGCAATGACAAATAACACTCATAAAGAGACATACTGCGACACGATGTGCAGCGCGTGTAACAGCTTGGCTTTTCCTGGACCTTGAAAATATTTCTTTATATTTTTTTATTTCATTCCCTTCAGCTATATTTTCTGAGAAAGTTGTAGAAGCAGAAATAACAAAAGGCCGTAGAAGTGCAGTTCTTCCACTTTCACAGCCCAGCTGGGAGAGAAGGCAGTATGGTACCGTTTGGCTTTGCATGGGGATTCCTGAGACGGAATTCTCTCTGCACAAACAGGCCGAGAGGAACTGTTTAACTGAAAATACACCAGTAATTATAAGCTCCGTGTTTCCCTCTGAGTTTGATGTGCTTATTGAGTTTATGATAAATACATTTCAGTGCAGAGGCTGTGAAAAAAACCTATTGTATTTAGGTTTCAGCTACAGACTGCTGAAACATTCTGCTCTGTCTTCTCTGAGTCTCAATAGAGAAAAGATTGCGACCGAATTTGTGCCCTTATTGGCAAACAGAACACCTACACAATGTCCTGCTGTCCCTCCTGCAGCAGTGCCCGGTACTGGGCAATCTCCTGCTCCAGGCGGGTCTTGATGCCCAGCAGCATCTTGTACTCCTGGTTCTGACTCTCCATCTCGCAGCGGATGCTGGCCAGCTCCTCCTCTACGGAGTTAATCTGCATTTGGATTTGTTGCAGCAGGCAGCCGTAGCGATTTTCCGTTTCTGCCAAGGAGTTTTCCAGAGAGTTTTTCTGGAAGTGGAAACGCAGCAGTTTAGGACCCGAGCTCTACCCGCTGCTGCCCAAGGCAGGAGTTTCCCGTTGCGAGGAGGGAAGGGCCCTCAGCCGTCCTGCCCCACGTACCGTGCTGAGCTGCGCCTGCAGTTCGATCTCCAGGTTCTGTATTTCACGTCTCAGTTCAGTCAGCTGTTGGTTGCTGGTCTGGATGTCCTGGCTGCTGGAAGTGACCTGGCGATTGACTTCTTCAATCTGCAGGAATGAAACCCCAAACACAAGTTCTGAGTGAGAAGATCCCATCAGGGAGCAGGTTTGCTGACTGAGAACTGAGATAGCCAGGGAGCTTCTCCCTTTCTTGGAGTCCTCTCCGAGGACAGCCTGGGCATTGCTCCCTAGATCCTGTCGTTCCACCCACCTTTGCCCATCAGACCTGGCCTGCTCCCCCTTTTTCCTTCCCATTCCCCCGGCTGTGCAGGTGAGGGCCCACTGAGCAGCTCCTCCTTTTAGCCAAAGCATCGCACGCCCAGCACCAGGGTGTCTGGGTCTTCCCCCAGAAGGACACTCCACCCTGTGCAGTGCTCCATACCTTGACTTCATACCACTGCTCAACCTCTCTGCGGTTCTTCTCGATGATCTGCTCGTATTCGTTTCTCAGGTCGTTCAGTATCTTTGTCAAGTCTTCGCCAGGGGCAGCGTTGACCTCCACGCTCACGTCGCCGCTGGTTTGAGACTGCAGCTGTCTTATTTCCTGCGGAGTCCGAAGGGAGGAAGAAAGAGCAGAGGTCATCTCTTGTGTTGGGGACAGTGGGCAATGCAGAAGCAGTAGCAAGGTAGAGAGGAGTGACAATCACATGACATAAGGCTGGATTGACTTGACAGGTAACTTTTGGAAGGCTGAAGAATCAAAGGACTGTGTCTTGGACTTGCTACTTATCATTGGATCATACCTCCTCATGGTTTCTCTTGAGAGCGATCAGTTCATCCTTCAAGGACTCTAGCTCGGATTCCAGGGAAGACCGGGTGCGAGTGAGTTCATCCAGGAGATTTCTCAAGCCATTAATATCAGCCTCCACAGTCTGACGGATGACCAGTTCGTTCTCATACCTGCACCAAAGAAAACAGAAGCATTTCACATTCATTTCACGAACATGCATAGGCTTCGTCATATGTCTTGGGAAATGGTTTCATCACCTGCATTCATGAGTCTCGTAATATTCTTGACATGAAAGATGCAGGGTTCACAGAGAGGTACTCACTTCATTCGGAAGTCATCAGCAGTCATCTTGCTGTTATCGATGTCCAGAAGCATTTTGTTATTGTCCACAGTGGCAGCAATGATCTACGAAAGGGGAAGGTGCAGATGAGTCTTTCTGTGTTCAAGGCACTCAGGACAAGAAGAGAAAAAACCCCAAATCTTTGGTGGGGCTTTATTGCAGGTCTTGGATAATGCTGGGGCCACAGAAAGTTGTTGAAATGCCATGCCTCAAGAACTGGTGTGTGCCAGATTTTGACCTCCTCAAGCATTCTGGTGAAAGACTACTTTGATGGAGGAAAGAACAAAAGATCATTTATAATGGGATATCACCAACACCTATGGGTTTCTACACTCTAGGTGTATAAGGAAATGTCTTTGTCCCTGATGCTGTAATTTGTCTCATAAAAAAAGCTGCTTGTAAGGGCAAGCCTTGGTCCTT